ATTGTGTTGTATACCTACAATGTACCAATAAAAGAATTTAAAAACACACACATTGAAGGCCTTCTGCACACATAGCACCGTGAGGGTCTAGGAACATACCAATGAGTAGAACCAATGGATCCTGTACTCTGCGTCAGTCATAACCCACCAATTTCACATTCCTGACTGGTAAAGAATGCTCCTCCATGCTACAAGCAAGCGTGTGGGGCCTGGGAGCGGGAGGCTGGGAGGCTGAGTGCTGAGGGTGGAGCAGGAGGTCCAGGCAAAGGCAAAAGCATTGAGGAAGGCTGTCAGGTGGGAGGCAAATGCTGTTGAAGGCCAAAGCAGCTGGAGCAGAGGGTTCGAGGGCAGGGGAGCAGGAGCAGGACCCACGTGTTGTGGAGGAGGCAGGTGGTGAGGAGCAGCAAGGGCTCGAGGGCCACGCACCACCTAGGGCTCTCGGTGACTCTCCGTGTTGGGGCAGGAGGAAAAGAGGCAAAATGAGTCAGGCAGGGCTACAGGAGGACACTGCTGTGGTGGCAGACGGAGAGGAGGGAGCTTGGACCGGCAGCTGGCAGGAGGTGGAGCACCTGGAAGGACAGGTGACAGGCGGCAGTGGAGCGAAGGCCCACCCCCACCTCTGCCCCATCTGAGCAACCCAGAATCCATCCTGTCACCTGCCTGTGCTGCCTGCTGAGCCCCGGCGGACACTGGGCTCTTCGCGCTCACCTGGTGCCGAGGCAGCGTCCCTGTGTCCTGGGTGGGTGTGCACCAAGAACTGGGGAAAGGAAACGGTCGGGAGCCAGTCCAGGCTGAGTCTGTTCCCGTAAGTGCAGGGCCACTTGTCACCACTCCCAGAGGCTCAGGACGAAACCTTGCACCCGAGCCTCCCTCCTGTAGGAGCCAGTGGTGGGCGCTGCACTGGCAGAGGGTCCTCCACTTCTGCTCCAGGCAGCACCTCCTCCCTGCCCCTCCTCCTCCTCTGGCACCCAGAGCCCCTCCTCCTCGAATCTCTCTGGGGCCTGTGGTGCCCTGGAGGGGGCAGAAGGCAGAACGGCAGGCCACCTCATGTGCAGGCTCCTGCACCAAGCCATGGCTCGGACAGCATGACTCACGCCGGACTCCAGTGTCATTCACAGGTGAGGATTCCAGTCCACCCCAGTGGAGGAGGAGGTGCCACTCGTCATAGACCAGGTGTCCTAGAAGCCTGGCTGGAGAGGAAGGGAGAGAAACCAGACACACAGGGGAGAAGTCAGACAGCGGCAGGCATCAAAGGAAGCCCGACTCCGTCTGACAGCTCCGGGGCATGCGCATAACTTATAGCTCAGTCTGTCCACCCAAGTGCTAGACTGCTGGGCCCTTGGTCTTAGCCCTGGCTGTTCCCTGGGGGTGGGAACTTAGTCTCCAGCCAGTGGCTCCAACAGCCAAGTGCCACCCCCCATGGAGGAGCACAAGCCCGAGCCACCCGCACCTGAGGCAGGGAGGGTAGGACACGAGGCAGTGCACAGGCCAAGTCCGTGGGCCGCATGGGCTCAGGGGCACCTGCTGCAGAGCCATCACCCCAAACTGCATGTTGGTGCTGGGGAGGAACCTGGCCCTCCCTTGCTCCCCAATCTTGGGGGAGCGACTTCCCCTCACCATCCCAGCCTCTACTCTTCTGCGGGATGCTGAGCTCCCTCGAGTCGGACAGGCTGGAGAGATGCCATGGCCAAAGGCCGCAGCATGGAAAAGCTCTCACTCTGAGTCTTGGAGCTCACAGTGTGTCGGGAGTGGTGTGGAGGGCTCTGGAGGGACGTGGCCACCAGATATCCACCGTGGGGCCTCTAAAGTCTGTAGGAAGGAACCAGGGAGAGGAAGCAAGCGGAGTGGAGGGGGAGGCAGGGAAGAGAGGCAAGTGTCCTCAAGGGGCTACGGTGCTTGTCTTATTTCGACTCCCCAGATTCCCTAACACGGGCAGCAGCGAGGTCGCCGATGGCTGAGCCAGATGGAAAAGAATCTGCCAGAGGGGGTGGATGGACGGCGGGCCAGACTGATGTCTCAGGGCCCACTCGAGATGGCAGCAAAGGGGTCAGTGGTGACGCAGTGGTCGAGCAGCCAAGCACGGAGGACGGGAGAGATTCTAGCGGATCTGGCAGGAGGAGGTGGTTCCGCAGGAGCAGCTCTGGATCCCATGAGCTCCATTCCTTCCCGTGTCCTCCCGTCTGAGGGCTGGCAGGGCGGGAGGGGGTTAGAAGGAGCTCAGTGTCACACGCCGTCCCCACTTGGAATGTGACCCTGCCTACTCCGAGGCCAGCACAGGAGCTGATGGGGAGGGGGCTGCAGGGCTGCTGGAGCGGGACCCTGCTGGCGGTAGCTGAGGTGGGGGCTGGGCATTTTAGGGTTTTTCCCTTCTGATTCTTCCACCCCTACCTCTCCTAGAAAAGAGCAAAAGCTACAAGAAAATGGAGAGAAAAAGGAAGACAACTTATAACAGCCTCCAAATCCAAACAGCATCGCTCCATTTCAAAGCCAGTGCAAATTAGACTAAGCGGCTGCAGAAGCAGAATGGCAATCATAATTCTTGCAGTTCCCCCTGCCCGACACACATAATAGGGTTGGCAGGCACTCAAGGCAAAGAGGGGCCCACAGTGGGTTTCAGAGATCTGCAGGCCTCTTGCAGTGGAGAAGCTGGATTTCTGCACAGCCCCGGAGGAGGAGGGGTGTCTGGAGGAGCACAGGCCGGGTTCTCAGCTGGAGCAGGCCCTGGGCCTCCCGGGCTCAGCACTGCCTGGAGGGGACACTTGTCCCCAGGCGGGGCTCGGCTTGGGAGGGGCCCCAGACCCCAGGACCTTTGGGAAAGTGGAAGGATCTGAGGAGGCTCCAGAGGAGGCTGCCCACAGGGGTCCTGTTACCTTTGTCACAAGCAAGGGGACGGGAGGGGACCCTGCTGGGCACTGCCCTCCCCCTTGGAGTCCACCCAAGCTGCCCTGCTTCCGGGGAGGGAGGGTCCCAGAGCTCAGTGGCTGCCAGTCACACAGTGGGGATGCGAAGTCAGGGTTGAACCTGAGTCTTCCTAACTGCAAAGCTCACGCTCTCACCTGCCCCAGGGGCTGACAGCCCTTTTCCGTGAAGTCCCAGACTGTGACTATTTCCAGTTTTGCAGGCCTGAGAGTCTAAACTCTGTGGCTGAACCTCAAAAACATCATAAAGCCATAGGCAATATGCACATGAATGGACACAGCTGTGTTCCAATAAAACTTTATTCACAAAGCAGGCAGTGGGCTGGATTTGCCTTGTGGGCCACAATTGGCCAATCCCTATCCTACATCAGTATGATATTTTTTAAAAAAGACTATCAGAGACTCACAGGGGAAAGGCAATCTTAGGACTGCACCAAAGGCAACCAAAATAATAAACCTACTCATAAAGCAGCTTGCAAAAGGCTCAAGGGTTAGCACGCACATGTTTTCTGTAAGACCTCACCCCTACAGCGGTGGGGGGATCTGGGGCCAGTTACTGCGCTCTCTCCACCTGTCCTGACGTCAGACGGAGAAAGCAGCCACGTCTGCCTCGGTGTCCTGGGAAGACCTGAGCAGGGTCATTCTTGCAAAGCGCTCCGAGGCTCCGAGCAGAGCTGGCCCGTAACAGGCCCTCAGCAGACGCCCAGGGCTCCAAGGCCTCGGGGTGGGGCTGTCACCTGCCTGGCTCAGACCAGGACACCGGGTCTCTGTGTGGTGGCAGTGGCACCGCGCTCGTGCAGGAGGAAGCTGGGCTTCTCTGAGCTCCTTCTTATCCCACTGCACTGTGGGAGGAAAGAGACAGCCGGAGACAGCCCAAAGCCCGGGAGCAGAGCAGAGAGAGCGACTCGAGACCAAAGCCAGGGCCCCGTCCACCCGGTCGCCCACAGACCTGGAGGGCTCTCCACAGCGTCACCGGGTGCGGACCAGCCCCACTGTGACAGAAGCCACACTGCTATGTTTGATGAGCCTAAAAATTGTCGGGAGCAATGCTACATAATTTTAGGGAAAAGCATTTGGTTAGCCTAGGTCTGCCTACAGCCCAGCTATGGAATTCCGAGACTTAATTCCATTTGGGTCTCCAGTCACAGCTGAGACCTCAATGATCTGGTGATGCTGTGATTCTCCAGGACAAGAAACATCCTGGGAGCTGAAGAAATCCTGGGAGGAACAAACATTTACTCAGTTCCTCATTGTTCTTGGACTGTTACTGTCTTGTTTACCCGGATGTACTGAACTCTCTGCAAGTCATTTGTTACATCTGCTTCTCCCGATGTACTGAGTACTGAATAAAAGGTGCGGTAAGCTGGGGGCTTTCGTCTTTGCCACCCAGAGCAGCACTGATCAGACCCAAAGCTCAGCTTCTTCTCAGTCTCATTTTTCTACCTTTCCTGTAATTCGCCTTGTGCTGCCGTGGCTCGAAGGAGACTAGGACTTACTGCAGAGGTTCTAGTAACGTCCCCTTTCCCTGTTCCCTACAAACCATATTGTCTGGGCACTGTGCCTCATGCCTGTAATCCTAGCACTCTAGGAGGCTGGGGCAGGATGCACACAAGGTGGAGCCCAGCCTGGGCAACTTTGTGACTCAACCAGACTGATTCAAAATAAAATAATTAAAAATCTGGGAATGTGGCTCAGTGAAAAAGCCCTGAGTTCAGTCTCTAGCACCGAAAAAAAAAGAGAAAGAAAGAAAAAGCCACCTGCTGTGACGGCTTGGGTGGCAGGTGACTGCCGTCTGCTGAGCGGGCCCTCGGCAGGAGAGGCAACGCAGGCAGCTGTCATTTCCAGAAGACAGCAAACCCGCCTGGGGTTCCAGTGTGTTGTGGGCGCCATGTCCAGTGCTCATGAGCAAAGTGGGCGGCCAGAAAGAGCTAAAGGGCTGTCATTCAGAAGGAAATGAAGAGGCTTTGAGGAATCCCTGACATGCTTGACTCCTGGCCCAGGTGCCTCCTTCCCATGTCTTCGGTGGGTGGATGTGAAGTCCTGTGCAACGAATCGCCACAGACTGGCTGGCTTACAAAAGCAGAAGCGCGTCTTCTCAGGGCTCTGGAGCCGGAAGTGAAGCTGGGAGTCGGCAGGGCCCTCTGCCAGGGTTCCGGGGAGCCTGCTGGACTTGGGCCACCCCGATGACGCAGGTGAGCTTCTCTCTTACAATTCTTACCTTAATTGCACTGCAAACAACCAAGCTTAGTTATACCTTAACTGAGGTCATGCTCATGGGGCTCAGGGGTTAGTTCAGGGGCGTGGCTCCTTTGAGCAGTGAGGGTTGTTCAGTCCACTGCAGGGTGTCTCACTGTCCAGTTCAGAATCACAGTGACGATTTCTGGCTCCAGAGGGCCCCTGGGCAGGACGGCATGGGGAGCATCTAATCTATGCCTCTCCACATCCCTCATTTTCCTGAGAAGTTCAGCAATTGCCCCACGCTGCTCTGCCTAGAGCCGCAGAGCCGACCCCGCGATCCGGCCCTACCACGGCAGCTCTCCCCTTGCGGTGTTCTGTGGCTCTGTCCAGTCCTGAGCCTCCCGCATCCCTGCCTGGTCTGACTAGGTCACCTGGTCAGCCCACGTGACTGTGTCTCACAGGTTGCATTGTGCTCCGCGCTGGGTGGAGCTTGTACTGTCAGGAGAACGCGGGACGAATCCAACTCCGTGTTGAACAGCTTTCAGAGAAAGCCTGGTTGATTTATTAATTCTGGTTCCTCTCTGCTCTGGTGCCAGCGTACAGGCATCCAAGCGGACACAGGGATCCAGGTGTGGGGGTGGAGGACAAGAGCCTTCAGTCCATGGCCCCCAAGGAGCAGACCCACCGTCGGGGACAGGCTGCCACAGCACAGAGAGGGCCAGCTGGCCGGAGCTCACTGCCAAGCCTCTGGAGCTTCACAAAAAAGTTACATTGCAACACTATGTAAGCACATCTTTATGGAAAAGCAAATGACCGATCAATAAATATCAAAATGTCCACCATGCATTCCCATCATACATGTGGAGCTGAGAGTTGGAAGGAGTTTGCTGATCATTCTTTTGTTCACCCACCAACTAAGATGGGAATTTGGCCTGCAGTAAGTAAAATCATGTCACTGACACGCCTTATCGGAAGATGGAGCTGCAAGGACAGCAGGCAGGAGCACGCATCGCAGCTCTGAGCTGCAGAGCAAGACCTGGGCTGCAGAAAGCAGAAACGTCCCTCCAAAGGCCACTACAACACAACCGCAGGCCTGCACCTCGCTTTCAAACAGCTGCACTCTTCCTGTGCACATGGGGTGATGGCCTTTCGCTCGCTGCCGTCACCAAGAAATCCCCATGGAGTGAGCAG